TCTTGGAGGAGAGACGAAACGTTTCATTAGAGAAGAACCCGTCCAGAAGACCTATACAATTTTTTTCTTTTTCAGTGAAAGTAGTTTGAAAATTGGGTTTTGTGTTTACGGTTTAGAGAAATGGATGGATGGTTTCAAGAAATGTGTTTTAGTAACAGAAAAAACTGTAAATAATCTGACTGATATTTTATAATTTTTTAGCCTCAGCACGTTTATAAAAACACACATCATGAAGTTAAATAAGGATCTTTATTGTTTCAGTTTTTGAGCATTACATCATGAATATACAGAAAACTAATACAGATACAGAGCTGATCATCAACATTGTATTACAGGTTTTAGGTACAGAAGAGCTGCATGTTCCTGAAAAAAAGACAAAAAAAGACAAAAAAGCAACAACAAAAAWATCTACCTTTTGTTATTTTAAACAACACAACAACATCTAAACAAAATTATCATCATCTTTATTGTTTCAGTGATCAGATTTACAACTTTCACCACGAGATAACAATTAGTAACAGTTTTTAGGAAGTTTTGTAGCAAAGACTTCAGGTCAACAAACAGGGTCCAAAAAACACAAACAACAGAACAAATAATAACAAACAACACCACTTCATAATTAGGCTCAATTTACAGATGATTTATTAATGCTTTAGGTTCTTCAGTTTCCTCATAAAACATTTAAATCTGATTTTAAGACACAACTTATGGTGAAATCAAATGAAGCTTCAGTGAGTTTTAGATTTGATAAAACAAAATTCATACAAAGTGAGACAAATAAATGATCAGCTGATAAAATCTGGATCAATAAACAAACGAAACACTAAATAAAATATGTCAGAGTTGCAGAGTATTGCAGGAATTGGATTACATCTTTAAAACAGCTTTTAGGATCTTTGATTTCTTTTAAATTGACTTCTCATGTGTTTTGTTCTCACTTCCACCACTTCTTGTCTTTCTGTATTTTCTCCTCTCTCCCCTTCACGTTGGCTTGTTTCTCCCTGTTTGCTCCCTGGAACAACTCATGATGGTTTCCTTCATAKTTTCCTGTGCAGCATCCCGTCTCCAGCTCCCTCATGTTCAGTTCTCTCTGGTTGTTCAGTTCAGTCATCATGGATGCCGTGTCTCTTCTCCTCTCCTCTTGTTCTCTCTTCTTTCCCTCCCCTCCCTCCCCTCTCTCCCTCTCAGTCTGGAGTWGTTCAGTCATTTTCTGCATCATATTGTTAAACATTTCCAGTAATTTTCTGTCCTTCTCCTCCTCTTTCTCCCTCATATACTGTTGTTYCTCCTCCTTGGTTTCTCTCTGTGCCTCCTGAAACATCTCAAAGGTTTTTCTCACAGTTCTCTCCATGATATGTCTGATCTTTTCTTCTTGCTCTTTGAGTTCTCCTTCTCTCTGTTCTTTAAACGAAGCCATCATGGTGGCCAACTCTCTTTGCCTTTCCTGCCTCTCCTTCTCTCTTTCGATCTGCAGCTGCTCAAACATATTCTGCATCATGGTCTTTATTTCTCGCTCGACTTCTTCTCTGTCTTTGTGTATCTGCTCCTCTTTCTCCTTCAGGTTTTGTAGTTTTTTCTCGTGCACACTCAGAGCTTCCTGAAACATCCTGAAGATCTGTTGGTTTGTGTTKATCAGCTCTCTCTCCCCTCCGTTCTCACTCTGGGTGTTCTTTTCATTCTCAATTTCTCTTTTTCTCTTCTTTTCTTCTTGTTCTTCATGTTTTTCTACTCTCCCCCCAGCCTCCAGGACTCCTGTGGAAAAACACCTCAGAGTCTGAACAACGATCTAACAGCAGGTGATGAACGCAGCTCAGAACATAAAGGAGGTGGAGGATGTCTCAAACTCAGAATTATTTTACTTGAAGGAGAAAAGGTGAAAAAGAAATGTGTTTGTGTTTTAGGAGATTTATAAAACAAAGCACACAAAAGCTTTACCTTCACATTCAAACTGCATCAGGTCATCTGAGCAGATTTCGATCCCGTTGGCTCCGAGGACCCGCTGTGCTCCTGGAACAGACCTGAATAAAAAATAACAATAATAATATCATTCAGCTTCTTAAAGCTAGACGTGGTTGAATTCATAATCATTTGGACACAAAATAAACAAACAAATAAAAATGTATTTTATACCCGTCTTGTATTTTCTTTTGTTTCTTCTCTCTGTTCCTCTGCAGTGTCTCATATTCATCCTTTAATTTCTGCAAGTCTTTTTGACATTTTTCTTCTGCTTCTCTCTCCATTTCTTCTTTCCTTTTACGCATTTTCTCCTCTTTCTCCCTCAGGATTCGTTGTTTCTCCTCTTCAGTTGTCCTCTCAGCCTCCTGGAACATCTCGTTGGTGTAGTGGCTTCCCCCGTTCTTCTGGACGATGTCTCTGATCTTCTGCAGGAGCTGGAGGACCTGAGGCTTCTTGTCCGTCAGCCTGTTGTTGAAGACATGAAACTGGTTTTTACAGCTGGACACAAGCTCCTGCAGTTCTCGACTGTCAGACAAGAACTCTTCGATGGTGCCACCTTCAAGAAGGTCTCCGTGAGTAAAGAGGACCATGCAGTATCTGAGAATATCCGGCTCAGGACCAGAGGACTCTGAAGTATCTGAGACTGTCCAGCTCAGGACCAGTGGACTCTGATGTATCTGAGATTGTACGACTCAGGACCAGAGGACCATGCAGTATCTGTCTGCAGCCTGTCCAAAGACTTCTTGGATCCGTTTCACCGTCTGCTTCTCTGCTTCGGTGAACCTGCTCAGTGAGACCACCACCAGGAAGACGTGGGGTCCAGGATCAGAGAAGGAGACACATGGGCTCAGATCTTTGGCTGTTTTATCTGAACCAAACCTGGTGTCAGTCAGACCCGGCGTGTCAATGACAGCAACCCTCTGTCCATCCACCACACCAGTCTCTTTGGCACATTCCACCGTCAGAGCCCTGGGACTGCACCTGGACTGGAAGCAGCTTCGACCCAGAATGGTGTTCCCGCTGGCGCTCTTCCCAATCCCGCTCTTCCCCACCAGAACTATCCTCAGCTCATCAGATTGATTCAGGCTGGATGCTGAGGAAAACAAAGTCAGCAACAGTCAGAGACTAACGAGAGGCGAGGAGGAGGGAGGTGATGATGTCAGTGTGCACACAAAGAGCTGAAGGAAGAGGCCGAAAACAGCAAAACATTTTCTAAAGAGAAAAACTACAAAACTTTAAGAAAAATTAACATAAAACTAACTAAAAATGACAAACACTTACAAAGTATAAATGACTAACGAAAAGTAGCTAAATGCCTGTTAGTGAGTCTGCAGATAGCATAACCTTTAGCTCAGTATCTGTACATCTGATTGATTTTTAKSTACATCTGTTTTCTAAGATCAGTCAGCTGCGACAGACTATATCAGCTGAAACTAAAATCCTCTTTCACTTTACCATGAACTGTAATAACCTCTGTTTCCAACTGTTTTTAACAGCAGGAGCTTCTCTTTAAAATAACTGTTAAATTAATTTAAAAACAACATGATATTAATCAGAATAAAGACATCTTTTTAACTTTTAATTCAGAAATTTACACATGAAGACTGGAGGACATGAGGACATGAAGACATGAGGACATGTTTCTACTCACCAAAACCGATGGACATGTTTGGATCTGGTGTTGGTTCTGGCCGGGTTACAGAGAGCAGCAGAGGCTGAAGTGAAGAAACAGATCCTGCAGCCTCCTCTAATATAACCACACTCCCTCCTCCATGCTCCCCTCCCCCTCCACGCTGTGCTTTCACTTTCTGACTGTCAGAATGAAACTGCAACTTTTTCTTATCATGAGAATAAAAAACATTACAGACACCAAAATAAGCTTTAAAGCAAAACACGATCTAATTCTGAAAAATGTCCTTATTTTTATAAAACCCAATATAAAAAATGTCAATCAGTTGGAGAAAAACTTAAAAAAGCTTCCTTCTGTAAATGTTCCATCAGATGAATGTTTTATTTCATTAAAGCACTTTAAGACAAAACTATTAACTCTTTCTCTAACTATGTAACTACATATTAATTCAGTTTATTACAGTATAATTACAGTTATTGTTTTATTTGTTATTCACACGCAAAGCAAATTATCACATATTTCTGTGTAACTTTTGTGAAAATGTTAACTTATTTTTCACAAGGTAAACTCTGGTAATTTGGAGATTATAAAACAAGTTGCTAATGAGGACTTGGGGGAAAACATTTTTTCATGAGCTCAGTGAAAACATCGTTGTCTATGTGATATCCTACAGCGCCACCTAGTGTAGATTTTTATTTTGTTTGTCATTACTTATCCTGATACTTGGTGCAATGTGGACTAAATTAGATAATTAATTTTATTTGTCAAGTATCAGATGTCTGATTATGTCTCTAACTGATCTGAGTAATTCATAAAATGTCATCAAGACTTCACTTTGTTTTATCACAATAATTATAATTAATTACAATGACCAGGTCAGGTTGAGGAGGCGGCACAGTGGTACAGTGGTTAGAGCTGTCGCCTCTCAGCCAGAAGGTCACAGGTTTGCATCATGGACTTTCTGGGTGGAGTTTACATTTTTCCTCCCACAGGAAAAAAAGCCTGTTAGTCTATATTCTGAGGTCAGAGTGTGAACGTTTGTTTGTCTCATGGACATGTCACCTGTCTGTCCTCCATGCAGAGACTGCTGCAGACTGTAAATGAGAGCTGCTGCTTTGTCAGACAAATTTACTTTAATTTGGAAGCCTTATGAACACGGACTGGCTTCATTCACTTCCTCCACTGCCGTTGCTAAACTAACTAGCAGTGTTGCCAGATCTCGTGACAGAAACAAGCAACCAGCTCTATGAAAACAAGCCCAAAATAAGCCCAACTGGCAANGGAGAGACGAAACGTTTCATTAGAGAAGAACCCGTCCAGAAGACCTATACAATTTTTTTTTCTTTAAGATCTATTAACTTAATATAAACTACAAAATGTCTTGAATTGTCCAATTTTATTGTTGTACATTTGTCAGCACAGCCTTGACAGGTTAAAACTGCCAAAATAAGAAAGAAAAAAATCATGGTGGATGGTAGATATCAGTGATCTGATACCTACCTTCAATCTTTGTTGTTTCAGCATTCGAGGACCACAGCTTATGAACAAGGAAATATGGGAAAGCTATACTGTACAAACTGAATGAAAAAAAATGGTTCTAACTGAAAATATCAGCTTTAATATATATATTTAAATCAAAGGGTTAAATTTGGCATCTGACTGCTGAGTTAAAACTAACATTACCAGTAAATAAAAATGAGAACGCATTAAAAAATAGTACGCCTATGACACAAGTATATGAGTTGTGTGTTTTAATACAAATAGAAAAAGGGGTGTGGTCACGTCACATGGTCAAAAGGAAAGATTTGCCACCATCTAGTGGCTAAAAATAGGTACTGCCTTTTTGTGCCTGTTGCTTCACTCCCCCTCCGGTCAGTCCAAGCAGCGACAGACAGCCGAGGAGGACGCTTCAACATGGCTACCAGGTGGGGGATCTGCAGCGCTGGAAAAATCAGCCATGATTTCACTGTGGCTCTGAAAACTCTTCCAGCCGAAGACCACCAGGTAAATTCTGTTAGCAGCGACGGAAAAACAAAGTCAAAATCCCGCGATAGAAAAGTCGCCGAGACTTCTGGCTTCTTCAAACAAGGCAAGCTGACTGATTCAGCAGCTTCCGCAGATTTAAGTTGAATTAAAATCAGTTTCTGGTCAAATGAAAGGGTTAACATGTTGAACATCTGCAGACAGTAGCTTTCATTGGATAAATGCAATAAAAAATAAAGAAAAACACGAAAGTTTGCGAGTAGTCATCGTCGGCACGCTTTTGTGTACGAAGTTTTTTCATTCTTTACCGTAAAATACTAAATATACAGGCACATATATTTTCATGTTATAAACAAAAAAAATTTAAACAATAAAAACACTGAAACGAACTTGATAATAACTTTGATACTTTCCAAATACACAAAAATGTTGTGTAAGCTTGTGAGAGATGACTTTTTTTTAACATTATCTAACATAATCTGGGACATCCAAGAGACTTCTGAGGAGTTTCAGGTGAACTCAGTCACGTGCAAAAGAGGGCTCACAGAGGGTCATGTGCCCCATCATCACCTGACTGTTGGGGCCCTGATACACACCTTTGGCTCACAGGGGGCCATACTTGCAATAAGAGCATTGTATGCAGTGTTGCCAGATGTTGCGATAAAAACAAGCAACCTCTATGAAAATAAGCCCATCTGGCAAACCCCCACATAGAGGTAAATTATTACAGTACTGTATAAACATATACATTTATTATTGCATTATACATAAACAACAACAAAATTATGATAAAAATTACCATAAAAATGAACAACTTTAATGGTTTGAATAATTTAAATTGTTTTAATAACATACACTTTAAACTGATCATAAAAAAGTGCATTTTGCAGCAAAATGACAGTACAGTCAACAAAAACTCCTAAAAATCTTTTTTCCTCACTCTTTATTATTTTTTCCCCATATTTTTCTGACTTACTGCGACTCATTCACACTCTGTTTTGTTACTTATATCCAGAGGTGAAGAAGTAGTTTTTGCTGATATTATGACAAAAAAAAAATCGGTTCCGGCTCTCTCACTCAATTCGTGCAATTTAATCAGCAAATTCCAAACAAATTAAAACTTATCAATATTTTACTGTACTTAAATTGTATCCCAAAGTAAGCAGCGTATTTATTTATTTATTTATTTATTTATTTATTTATTTATTTATTTGTCTGTGCACCACGTGTAAAATGTCCCAGTCCATTAAATCGAGTGCACCAATCCCCACTGTGTTTTAGAGGCAGACGCGCATGTGCGCTGTATCAAGTCTCCTGTCATAAGTTCTGAAACGGACCGGACCACACTGCCTCACCCCTGCTTGTTTTCCCGTCACTCTGGGCTCTGGTGTGTGTGTGTTTGAAGTGTGCCGACTCAACTCGGGCGGGAGCGACAACCAGGAAAAAGGGGGAATGGGAGGACAAACCCACTATTCCTTGTGTTCTGCTTCAACAGGAGCAGAGAAAGAAAGACAACCCAAAATAAGCAACTCACGTTCAAAAACAAGCCCAAAAAAACGCAACCCACGACTCACGGAATTTACAAGTGATTTTAGAAAAAAAGAAGCCCAAAGTAAAATAATAATAATAATAATAATACTAATAATAATAATACTAATAATAATTGTTGCGGACCTGGCAACACTGATTGTATGAGGAGGACAACTGGACACGAAGGCCTCCACCTCTGTTTAATGGTGGATGTTTTTCTTCACAAAGATGGCTTCCTTTACTCCTCTCTCAAACCAACGTTCCTCTCTATCAAGGATGAGAACGTCTTCATCACTGAAAGAGTGACCGCTGGCCTGTAGATGAGTGTAAACTGCAGAGTCCTGGCCTGTAGATG